AAAGTTTCTTGGTAAAATGTATTGCCAACGAGGCCTCCCCCCCTCCCCTCCATCCCCCATGGTGTATTCCCCTGACGATGCGAATAAAAAGGCCAGCAAAATTTAGACAAGATAGATAGAGAGAAAAAAAAAAAAAAAGTGAGAAATTCTACTAAGGAGAATATAACCGAGAACGATTAAACTCGTCTTTCATTTACTCGGGAAATTTCTAATTAGCTCCTCTTTGCAAGTCAAAACTACTTTTATCAAGTTCGATAATCTCCAAGCGTCGTGCATCACTATAGAAGAATTTACTCGATGAACTTTATTGTAATACGGTTTTTTAATTACAATTTACGCTGATTATAATATATAAAAAAAAAATTTGTAATATTAGAAATAATTTATTTTTATAAAGTAATTTTGTGTTTATTTAATTTTTTTTTTTAAAAAATTGATAAAGTGATTTATTTACCTTTGGAATTTTTGTTGAAAAATTAAAGTCGAGTAGATAAAAATTTGTCTATCCCTTGCTCTCTCTCTCTCTCTCTCTTTCTATCTGGTTCAGAATCCCTGACACGGAACATGTTGAAAGCGAGCGATAACTTTGTTCTTTGAAATGGACTTAGCGGACTGGAATAACGAACATTCGTTGACCCCCTAGTAGAATGTGTTTCATGGGTCTCGTTATACCAATGCGTTATGGCCTCGTTATCTCCAAAGTCCGACGCATTTGTGATGAGATATGTTTTGTCCAACAAAAATATAAAGATCATTTTCCGCAGGAGACAAATGAGATTTATTAAATTATTCCCCCTCATTCTGCAATTGTTTCTCGTTTATGGCAAAATATCAGTGAAATATAAATCTCTTTCTCTTTCTCTCTATCCCCAAAAAGAAATCGTGAAAGATAGCCAGAATGGGAGTTTTGAGAAAGTTTGAAATGATAAAAAGGAAGCCTTGTAAAATTCAGTATTGCAAACTTGCCCACTCGTTGAATGGAATGGAAAACGTGTATTCAGACCGCAGTAACGCTCTTTCGAATCCCTTTGGATTTTCAGTTATTTAATCCCTTCTCTCTGAATTACGAGGTTATCTACAATGATCCTTTGTCGTAGTCTCTTAAGAGATGGTAGGAAAAATGAAAGAGAAGAAATTTTTAATGAATATAGTCGAATTTATGGATTCTTTTTTAAATTTTAGAAAATTTCATATTTTTTGTACTACACTCTAAATCTGAATTAGTGAAAAATTTGACTGATTCAGATTTAAAGTGTAATTAATAATATTTGATAGGATAGGGCCACTTGAAAAGATTCCCCGGAAAGTGTCCCCTTGCAGGTTCTATCAGAATTCCGCCGGAACTTCCAACGTAATTCCGTCGGAATTCCATAGTTGTTGTAACTAACTGTTTACATAGTAACTAACTGTTTCCATAGTAACTTTTGCCATAATAACTTTTGCCACAGTAACTGTTGCCATAGTAACTAACTGTTTCCATAGTAACTTTTGCCATAATAACTTTTGCCATAGTAACTTTTGCCACAGTAACTGTTACCATAGTAACTAACTGTTTCCATAGTAACTTTTGCCATAGTAACTAACTGTTTCCACAGTAACTTTTGCCATAGTAACTTTTGCGACAGTAACTAACTGTTTCCATAGTAACTTTTGCCATAGTAACTTTTGCCATAGTAACTTTTGCCACAGTAACTTTTGCCATAGTAACTAACTGTTTCCACAGTAACTTTTGCCATAGTAACTTTTGCCATAGTAACTTTTGCCACAGTAACTTTTGCCATAGTAACTAACTGTTTCCACAGTAACTTTTGCCATAGTAACTTTTGCGACAGTAACTAACTGTTTCCATAGTAACTTTTGCCATAGTAACTTTTGCCATAGTAACTTTTGCCACAGTAACTTTTGCCATAGTAACTAACTGTTTCCACAGTAACTTTTGCCATAGTAACTTTTGCCATAGTAACTTTTGCCACAGTAACTTTTGCCATAGTAACTAACTGTTTCCACAGTAACTTTTGCCATAGTAACTTTTGCGACAGTAACTAACTGTTTCCATAGTAACTTTTGCCATAGTAACTTTTGCCATAGTAACTTTTGCCATAGTAACTTTTGCTATAATAATTTTTGCCTCAGTAACTTTTGCCATAGTAACTTTTGCCATAGTAACTTTTGCCACAGTAACTTTTGCCATAGTAACTAACTGTTTCCATAGTAACTTTTCCCATAGTAACTGTTGCGATAGTAACTTTTGCGACAGTAACTAACTGTTTCCATGGTAACTGTTGCCATAGTAACTAACTGTTTCCATAGTAACTGTTGCCATAATAACTTTTGCCACAGTAACTTTTGCCATAGTAACTTTTGCCACAGTAACTTTTGCCATAATAACTTTTGCCACAGTAACTTTTGCCATAGTAACTGTTTCCATAGTAACTTTTCCCATAGTAACTGTTGCGATAGTAACTTTTGCGACAGTAACTAACTGTTTCCATGGTAACTGTTGCCATAGTAACTAACTGTTTCCATAGTAACTGTTGCCATAATAACTTTTGCCACAGTAACTTATGCCATAGTAACTTTTGCCACAGTAACTTTTGCCATAGTAACTTTTGCCATAGTAACTGTTGCCATAGTAACTAACTGTTTCCATAGTAACTTTTGCCATAATAACTTTTGCCACAGTAACTTTTGCCATAGTAACTGTTTCCATAGTAACTTTTGCCATAGTAACTAATGCTATAGTAACATTTGCCATAGTAACTGTTGCCATAGTAACTTTTTCCATAGTAACTTCTGCCATAGTAACTGTTGCTATAGTAACTGTTTCCATAGTAACTGTTGCCATAATAACTAACTGTTTCCATAGTAACTTTTGCCATAGTAACTAACTGTTTTCATAGTTTCCGTCGGAATCCCATCGGAAATTCTTTGGAATTCCGACGGAATTACGTTGGAAGTTCCGGTGGAATTCTGATAGAACCTCCAGGTGGCACTTTCCGGGGAATTTTTCCAAGTGGGGGTTGAACTCACTGCTAACCGACTTTACTAAACGAGAGGCATGGTATTTAATACCTGATCAATGAGATGCTCTTGAATATAACTTACTATATCTGGCTTATACCACATAAGCCGCGTCATTCTCTAAAGCTCACTTCATGAAAATCAGCGTTCACATTTATACATATATATACATATATAATTTAGTGAATCTTCATGTGTTGAAAGTACGACGAACCTACTCCGTGTGTATAGAAATTGCATAAGGGTTGGATAAAATGAAGTGGTATAGGTATATAGGATATATATATATAGGAGGAACAAGAGGGGTTGAAATTCAGAGTGAGGCGGTTATATAGGCGTTGCTATACATTGGTAGTACACGCTCCATTATGATAGTGGAGCGCACCACCATCCCATTGATCTCACACTTAGAACTCTATCTGGATTATCTTCGTTGATTTAATTTATTACCGAGATATTACCGTCCTGATATAGTCACTTGCTTGAATTACGGCTGCTTAGGCTTCTCACAAAGGAAGACGACGACGACGACCTCCTTCTATGTTGCTGAAAATTTTACTTGAGAAGTCAAGTCCCAGGCGACGACTAGCTTCTCTCGATGTGCCTTTAATATATTCAGGAGCATCGATTAATCATTCAAAAGTTAATGCGCTCAGGGGGTTTTTTTTCTAAAAAAAAGAGAGGAAAGGATTTTTTTTTCATCAAATGATTTAAGAACCACTTTTTATGTGAAATCTTTATTATTAAATTATTTTTTATATGATATTAAAATAAATAAGAAAGAATCTTTATGATGAATGAGAGTATGTATATATAAAAGAATTCATCATATTTTATATATCACAATAGTTTATCTTCATTACAGAAATTGAATTTAACACTATTTATTATTCCATGATGAAGAAAAATATGAAATCCAATAACTAAAACTATATTAAAACTAAAATTCAAAATCAGGGAGAATTGAATGTATATTGCATTAAATCCCTGCGATTGTGGTTTTCGTAATTATCATTTAATTCTTCTTAATCAATTTTGAAATCGCTGCATAATTTGTTAAAAAAATCTATAACCTTATATAAAGGAAACTGGATTACAGGAAAGATTTATCTTTTCTTTAACTTTAACCTTATCTATCTATTCACTTTCATTTCGGTGACAAAAGAGTTTTTGGACCTGCAATATACCTTCTGCTTTTATCCCTTTGTATTTCTTTCTTCTTTGCACTTTACTTGCAAGTGCTGTCGTGATTTTTAGATTTTTACTTTAAAAGAAGAAAATTTCATTCCCCCCTTTTTTTTTATCTAAATTATTTCAAAATTTAATTTAAAAATTATTAAAAAAAATTATTTTTTTTACAATTATATATTTTTTTGAACTCGAATTGTTTTTTTAAAACTGATTTTATCCTTGCATTTTATTTGCTTAACTGTTTGTGGATCTTGGACAGTAATTACAATTTATTGCTTTAACTCGAGAATGTTTTTCTTCTTCGTCTTGTGGTACTCGTTTTATAGAGGTTTCTGAACCTCTTGATCTTTTGCCGTAAATATTCGAGAAAACTAATCAAGAAAAACACATCCTTGGGGATATTACCTTGATCAACGACAAGTTGAGAATTTTCTCTCGTCCAGGACTTCTTCTTTTTTTTCCCCCCCCCAACCCTCTCCACCCCTCGTTTTATTAATCACAAGTTATTTACCGACTTCGCATTAAGTAGATAGAAATTGCTATGGAACGAAAGTAGGAGTCGCTTCTAGGGAATTGGAGCATCTTTGAGTGATTGGCTTTTTGCTTTTCAATTACGATATTTGCTAGGTTTGATGAATCGTATTTCTTGGTGAAAAAAAAAAAGAAAAGAAAATTTATATTTTCTATTATGGTAATAAGTTGAGTGTAATTTAATTTGTAATTATGAAATTTTTCATGAATTCTAATTAAAATTATGATGAAAATTATTAAGGAATTAGAAATATGAGTTAATTTTTATTTTTCTTTATTTAAAAGAATTAGAATTGACAATTTTTTTTTTTATGCACTGGCTTCAGCATTAGCGGTGGCACTAGCATTTCCATTGGAGTTGGCATTGGCATTTGCAACGGCATTGGCATTAGTAATTCCTGTACCTCTATTTAAATTATTTCCATTGGCACTTGCATTGGCATTAGCTACAGCATTTGCATTTCCAGATCCTCTATTTAGATTGTTTGCATTGGCACTGGCATTGGCTACAGCATTTGCATTTCCAGATCCTCTATTTAGATTATTTCCGTTGGCATTAGCATTAGCTACTGCTGATGCACTTGCATTGCCTGCACCTCTATTAAAATTATTTCCTTTGGCATTGGCATTAGCATTGGCTTTAGCATTGGCATTAGCATTGGCATTAGCATTGGCTTTAGCATTGGCATTAGAATTTCCTTTATTTATATTAAGTCCACTGTGATTAGAATTGGCATTAGCTCCAGCGTTGGCTTTGGCATTACCTTGCGAATTAGCATTGGCTTTAGCATTAGCATTTGCATTGCCACTTGGATGACTTGGAACCGTTGGGAAATTATTTTGTGTATTGCTTCCAGCATTGGCTTGAGCTTTAGCATTTGCATTGCCACTTGGATGACTTGGAACAGTTGGGAAATTATTTTGTGTATTGCTTCCAGCATTGGCTTGAGCTTTAGCATTAGCATTTGCATTGCCACTTGAATGACTTGGCACCGTTGGGAAATTATTTTGTGTATTGCTTCCAGCATTTGCATTTGCATTAGCATTGCTACTAGGATGATTTGTCACAGTTGGGAAATTGTTTTGTGTATTGCTTCCAGCATTTGCGTTTGCTTTAGCATTTGCATTAGCATTAGCATTGCTACTTGGATGACTTGGTACCGTTGGGAAGTTATTTTGTGTATTAATTCCGGCGTTAGCATTGGTATTAGCGTCTACTCCAGTTGTGAAACCAGGCATTGGTGGTTGGAATCCGTTGTTGGCATTAGCATTGGCGTCAGCGGCTGCAACTGGTTGTTGAGGGTAGATAGGAAATACTGGTTGTACTGGATAGTAGACAATACCGTCATTGATATTTGATTGAATGTTGACATCTGCAGTTGGTTGATATACTGGATACACTGGATATCCATTGGTCAAATCTACCTCCTGCGGGTAATAAACTTCAAAAGTTGATCCTTCTGGGAAGTTGAAATTTAAGCCATTGGCTCCTGAAATTGAATTAGAAGTGGTAGAAACTAGGTAATGTGGATGATGGGTTCGCATTAGGGTTATTACCTTGGTAAGCTGGGTAATATCCAACATAATTGGCATTAGCGTCAGCAGTGGCAGTTGCACCAGTGTTGGAACCTTGTCCAGCTGGGTAGTAGATAGGGGCATTGGCTTTAGCGTCAGCAGAGGCAGTTGCATCAGCATTGGAACCTTGTCCAACTGGGTAGTAAGTGGGAGCATTAGCATTAGCGTCAGCAGAAGCAGTTGCAGTTGCACTTGCATCAGCATTGGAACCAGCTGGATAGTAAGTGGGAGCATTAGCTTTAGCGTCAGCAGAAGCAGTTGCAGTTGCATCAGCATTGGAACCTTGTCCAGCTGGATAGTAAATAGGAGCATTAGCTTTAGCGTCAGCAGTGGCAGTTGCACCAGCATTGGAACCAGCTGGATAGTAGATAGGAGCATTGGCATTAGCGTCAGCAGAGGCAGTTGCAGTTGCATCAGCATTGGAACCTTGTCCAACTGGATAGTAAATAGGAGCATTGGCATTAGCGTCAGCAGAGGCAGCAGCAGAGCCTGGGGGATATTGGTAATATGGTGGAGGGTAATATACTATCGGTGGTGTCTGGCTTCCTGGTGCCAAGTTTTCTGTTAAGATAAAACATATCAAATTAGAAAATTCAAATTATCAAATTAGTCCAATTAGAAAATTCAACAATTCTAAAGATTCTTACCACAAACACACTTGAACGGTCCTCCTGTAACGTATCCTTGTTGATACTGATTACCAGTCCATGCTCCACCATTACTTGAGCCACCTTGTTGTCCGTATACCCATCCAGTGGGTCCATAAGCCCAACCACTTTGTCCATGTACACCTCCATTTTCACCACTTTGTTCAAAATGATATCCATTTTGTCCACCTTGTTGAAAATTCCATTCCTTTTGACCAGCATTACTCCATTGATTTTGTTGTCCCTGACTGTATCCACCTGTATTTTGATACTGATTTTGATATCTATTATCATTTGTCCATCCTTGTTGTCCACTTCCATGTTCAGAGAATCCTCCAGTCCATCCAGATTGTACACCATTCCAACCGCCATTTACATCAGTAAAAGCTCCAGCATCTGCGTCAGCCACACCACCTCCAGTTGCTTGGGTATTTGTATTTGTAAATGTCTTTCCACCACTTGCATGGCTTTCAGATTGAGAAATACTAGTAGCACCACCACCACCATTAAGTGTAGTTGAAAGTATATCTGCAATTAATCCCAACGTTCTTTTCTGTCTAGAATGCGAACCTAAAAGAAAATAAGATAATTTTCAATTAAATGAAAAAATTAAAATTATAAATTTTTTTATACTTACCAACCACAATGGTGGCATATGAAATTGATAAAAGACAAAATACTAAAAGACACTTCATTTTTGCTTGACTATACTTTTTTGTAAAATCATCATCATCTTTTATACTCAAACTCCCCCACTGTAATAAATTTTGAAAAAAATTTAATAATAATATTTCCTTATTTTAGAATAACAAAAGAAATTTAATTAATAATTCATGCTTTTGAAAATGCATGGCAACATAAAATCAAAGTCATATAATTTTTGTTGAACAAATCGATGCATTAAAAACATCTGTGTAAATATAAGTCTTGCGTCTTATTAAAGCATTTGGGTACACATGAAAAATTATTCTAATCATACTCGCTCAAGTTTTATTTTTAAAAATAAAAAGAAATTATTTGTAACTAAAATGAATTAATTATTATTTTACAAATTTTGATAATAATAATAATAATTCATTTTGCGTCATTATGTAAATTTTTTTATGTGATTTTCTTTTAAATTTTGAAAAGAATAATTGTTTTATTTTTTTTTTTTTATCCTAAATGCGTCATTAATTTTGTTTTAATAAATTTAATTCATATATTATGAATAATAATAATAATAATATATTTGGAGTATAATTAATAGCTTTCGTAAAAAAAATTATTAGGACATTTTTTTTGCGTTGATAATGTCAGGTGGACGTTAATAAAGCCACAAAAAGGAAGCACTCTCGGATATTAAACATCGACCTCTCGACTTTTCCAATTTGAAACTTGTGCGCTATTCCACGAAAGACATCCGGTTCTCTCTTTCTCTCTCTCTCTCTCTCTCGCTGGCTATACTGATCGATCATCAAAAACACTGGCAACGTGAATAAAATTCTAAAAATTTAGAAACTATAAATTAAATATGTTTGTAAATTCTTTTCTTTTTAAACAATTTAGTTTATTGAAAAATTTAATATTTTTTTTTTATTACTTTTTAAAGATCATTCTTATATTTTTATTAAATAAATCTTTTTCTCAATGTCGAAATTGAAAGGGATTTCTCTTCAAAAAAAAAAAAAAAAAAAAAAAAAATGTGGATTTAAATTCCGTTTATATTTGATTACCCCACGTTTAATCGAACATTCGAGAAATGCTAGCACAAATCTCTAAGGAATTTTACGACTTTTAGGTTGACGATTAGGCAAATCGATTTTGCCGGCTTTAACGATTCACAAAATGATTATATAATAATCGATTTTGATATAATATGGTGATTTTTTTGAAACATTAGATCATTTTTTAAATTAAAAAAAGTCAGAACCCACTTGGAAAGATTCCCCGGAAAGTGCATCCTGGATGTTCTATCAGAATTCCGCTGGAACTTCCGACGTAATTCCGTCGGAATTCTATAGTTGTTGTAACTAATTGTTTCCATAGTAACTGCTGCCATAGTAACTAACTGTTTCCGTAGTAACTTTTGTCATAGTAACTAACTGTTACCAAAGTAACTGTTGCCATAGTAACTAACTGTTACCATAGTAACTTTTGTCATAGTAACTAACTGTTACCAAAGTAACTGTTGCCACAGTAACTTCTGCCATAGTAACTAACTGTTACCAAAGTAACTTTTGTCATAGTAACTAACTGTTACCAAAGTAACTGTTGCCACAGTAACTTCTGCCATAGTAACTAACTGTTACCAAAGTAACTGTTGCCACAGTAACTTTTGTCATAGTAACTAACTGTTAAAAAAGTAACTGTTGCCACAGTAACTTCTGCCATAGTAACTAACTGTTACCATAGTAACTTTTGTCATAGTAACTAACTGTTACCAAAGTAACTGTTGCCATAGTAACTAACTGTTACCATAGTAACTTTTGTCATAGTAACTAACTGTTACCAAAGTAACTGTTGCCACAGTAACTTCTGCCATAGTAACTAACTGTTACCATAGTAACTTTTGTCATAGTAACTAACTGTTACCAAAGTAACTGTTGCCACAGTAACTTCTGCCATAGTAACTAACTGTTACCAAAGTAACTGTTGCCACAGTAACTTTTGTCATAGTAACTAACTGTTAAAAAAGTAACTGTTGCCACAGTAACTTCTGCCATAGTAACTAACTGTTACCATAGTAACTTTTGTCATAGTAACTAACTGTTACCAAAGTAACTGTTGCCACAGTAACTTCTGCCATAGTAACTAACTGTTACCATAGTAACTTTTGTCATAGTAACTAACTGTTACCAAAGTAACTGTTGCCACAGTAACTTCTGCCATAGTAACTAACTGTTACCAAAGTAACTGTTGCCACAGTAACTTTTGTCATAGTAACTAACTGTTAAAAAAGTAACTGTTGCCACAGTAACTTCTGCCATAGTAACTAACTGTTACCATAGTAACTTTTGTCATAGTAACTAACTGTTACCAAAGTAACTGTTGCCACAGTAACTTCTGCCATAGTAACTAACTGTTACCATAGTAACTTTTGTCATAGTAACTAACTGTTACCAAAGTAACTTCTGCCATAGTAACTAACTGTTTCCATAGTTACTTTTGCCATAGTAACTGTTGCCATAGTAACTAACTGTTTCCATAGTTTCCGTCGGAATCCCATCCGAAATTCTTTGGAACTCCGATGGAATTCCGACGGAATTTTGACGGAATTAGGACTCTAAAAATTTTGAAAGAAAATAATCGAAATTCCGTCGGAATCCCATCGGAAATTATTTGGCACTCCGATGGAATTCCGACGGAATTACGTTGGAAGTTCCGACGGAATTCTGATTGAACCTCCAAGGGGCACTTTCACTCAGAAAAAAATTCGTTTGAAGCAATCAAATTTTGATTAAATCAACAAAATAAATGCATTGATATACAGTTAATCAAACATTTGGTTGCATTAACCAAACGTTTATTTAGCTCAATCAAATTTTTTGCTTTGTTCAAAAAATTTATTAAAATAAACCAAACGATCAAATAAATATTTATTTTGAATTAAACAAATTTTGTTTGAACTAATCAAAAAATTGGATAAATATAAAAAAAAATGGTACATTTGGTTCAAACATAATATCTTTTTTCTGAATGTTCCGTAGAATCTTTCCAAGTGGGCAAATTAACTGACTGAATTTTGTCATAATTCAAATATGTATCATTCGCATACGCTGGCGATATTATTTTATGAAAAATAAAGAGGTCACCTCTTCTCCTGTCTTTCCATTTTGTTCCTTTGTCTTGTTAGCTTCACTAATGGCAAAGGCTGGTAAAATCCTGCAAAGTCGTTTGTGCTTACAGTCTACCTTTATTTGTACCTAAAAGTATGACGACGACATTCTACGTTGATGAATTAAATTTTTTATGGACCATCACAAAGTATGAATTTTAATACTACTCTTCTACATTCTTTTTCTTTTTTTTTGCAAATTTCTTTTGCGAATTTTTATTTAAAATTTATTGAGAACTTGAGATTATTAAATTTTATCTTATAAAAATTCTTCAGGGGAAAAAAAATTCTTTTTTATCATAAATATTTTATGAACCAATATTGATTTTGTATATATATATATATATATATATATATATATATAGAAAATACAAAAAATTCAAATGAATTTTTTGAAAAAAATATTGGAAATTAAATTCTTTTTTTTTTTCTGAAAATACAATCAACAGGAATCCCATACTGTCGTGTAATGTATATTTGGAAACAAATGGCAAACAAGCATCGACAGCAGCCCGGAGGATCACACGCCGTATGATTGCGAGTGCTGGAAATTTGCAAGTAAATAGCAATTAATCAGCGTCCCCGTGAATGGATCGCCCTGTTAATTTGTCATTTCGTTCTTGCGACAATTTGCATGCTTACTGCTGCCGCCAATGCGACATACGAAAACATATGATGTATGGATTGAATATTGACGCCGCGGCTTGAAAGCGTATTAAATTTCATATTTAAATATATGCTTACGAAAATTTATTGCATCAGGTATATACCACTTCTTTTTTTTGATTTAGTAAATGAAAAAAATTTTTTAAAAAGAATTTAAGAAAAAAAAAAATGGGGAAAAATACTTTATATAAAAGAAAAAGTAAAAAAAAAAAAAACGTGTAAATTCGTCAAAGTTCGTTTGGAATTTTCTATATACATAGCTCAAAGTTTGAAGGAAAAAAAAGTTCGATGCTTTCGAAATTCAGTGGAAATACTGGGAAAAAGGCAGTGCGGTGAAGAAGAAAGTATTAAAAAGGTTTCGTGAAACTGCAGTTTTAGAAATGTAATAGTGTGTGATGCGCGCGATCCACTTGCTTCAAAGTGCTGTCGCTTTTCAGATTCTTTCAACTAGACGATCATATTAACTGTCGATTTATTTATTTTTTTTTTCTTTTATTTTAATATCCATCTCTTACTGAAACTTTTATATTGAAGACATTTTTTTTTAAAATCCATTCACGTATATGTAAAAATAGATCTTTTGGAATAAAAATTTTCCATTCGTCTGAAAATAATAATTTACGGTTCTTTAAATTACTATTACTATGGTTTCAAGACTCTGAATATAGCCGCAAGTCCCCTCCCCCGCCAGAAATGATCTAAATTTTGAGGTTATGTTCGTTTCAAGGCTCTGAATATAGCCGCAAGTCTCTCATTTCCCCTCCTGCGCCAAAAATGACCTAAATTTTGAGGTTATGTTCGTTTCAAGACTCTGAATATAGCCGCAAGTCCCCTCCCCACCCCCGCCAGAAATGATCTAAATTTTGAGGTTATGTTCGTTTCAAGGCTCTGAATATAGCCGCAAGTCTCTCATTTCCCCTCCTGCGCCAAAAATGACCTAAATTTTGAGGTTATGTTCGTTTCAAGGCTCTGAATATAGCCGCAAGTTCCCCCCCCCCTCTCCACTCATTTCCCCTCCACGGCCAAAAATGACCTAAATTTTGAGGTTATGTTTGTTTTAACACTCTGAATAAAGCAGTAAGTCCTTCCCCCTTCCCTCATCTCTCTCCGTATTTCCCGCCAAAAATGACATAAATTTTGAGGTTATGTAAATTTCAAGACTTTCAATATAGCCGCAAGTGGAGGTGGAGTTCCCGCCAAAAATAACTTGAATTTAAAGGTTATGTTCGTTTCAAGACTTTTTAATAATTTATTGATTTTTAGGCAATTTCTTAATGTCGAT